TAATGTTTCAATAACAATAGACAGTGATAGGACTATTTTTTTTTTTAGATTCCCTTCAGGAGAGGGGCTTTTGTTAAGAAAGTTGAGAGTGAAATTTTAACTTTTAAGCATTGGTTTAGAAAGACGTTACAATCCTCAACAAATTCAGTAAGTTCTTAACTCATTTATAATTCTTGAAATTAAAAAGAAAAATCATATGTGTTAAAAGGGTGGTCTGGACATCTGATCTTTAGACTGTTCACTGTCTCTCTATTTTTCGACGCACGCGAAAGAAAAAGCGATCGAAGCGAGCGCGAAGTACGCGGGGGTGGGAGCGGGGAGGCGAGCGCAGCTAGCCAACCCCCTACCCTGTCAGGTCTTTGGTTTTTGCGCTGGCGTCCAGTTTTCTCGCGATTCTATCCGCGCATTCAACAATCGAATAAAAACACGAGAAAATAGAGAGCTGTAAACAGTCTATCTGATCTTCAGGGTCTGGTACTAATGCTGCGCTGTAACAACGTCTACCCGATTTTGTTAAGTTTATATACACCTGATGGAATTAAGTTTGTCGACAAAAATGCGTAAACTATAAGCATTTCTTGACAAACGAGTGAACTAGTTGTTTGCATCCTAGAAGACTGTGTGTGTGCATGAAAGATTAAACGAGACAGTACTTAGCCAAGTAAATTATATGCTACTAGGAAAGAGCTTTACTAAAAAATAAAATTAAAATAGAATTAAAGCGCACCATCGTACACTCGTAGATAATTTTCCTTTAATCTGTTGTCATGAACAAAGCGATTGATTGATTAAAAAATAGCTATGATCTCGCTTACTGCACCCATCAGCTCGTACCCTTTGTGTGTGTGTGTGTGTGTGTGTTTTTTTTTGTTTTTTTTTTTGCGGACAACGTTTTTCCAATCAGGTGTATACACAAGAAGTTTTAAACCAGGCGGTTAAAGGATAACTTTTCTGACCTTCTCTTCTTTGCTAAAAAGTCAACGTGTTTCGCAATATCATAGACCTGTTAAACATTAAAAGGAGTACAGCTGCATATCAGTCTGCACGCATTGCATGCCAGCGATCAAGGCATGTTGGTTCATTAGAACCTTAGACTGCGGTGTAACCAAGAAAACATTGTGCAGATGCTGATCTTAAACACAGTTCATGGCCATGATGGTATCAGTGATTCGTGGGTTGTGATTTTAGCGTCATCGTTCTGCTAAGCGCCGCCGTCAATTAAACGCCCCACTCCTCCTAAATCGAAGGTATAATCCTCTGTTCTGATCAATACCCCCTATTTCCATAAGCCAATATACTCCCGTTTTGCAGGTTCAATGTTCAGTCAGTAGCGAGTTGAGTTTACTTTTAAGCTGGGATTTGCCAGTTTTGTATGTTTACAATAAATTTAATTCCATTACAGTAGATGCGACCAAGTCTACGGTTTATAGTATGGCCAGATAAGATAAAACAAACAAAATTAGTGCCACC